TACCAGATGAATAAGTAAAAGTGTCGTTACTCGTCAGAATCGTCACCAGAACGAGATACGTGATAAGTGACGGGGATCTCCAATCTCTGTCTTTGTCTATACCTTGTTTGGATGGTAATTCCCCATTATCGTGACGCATCCTGCCGGTGTTGTCGCGATTGTTTTTCTCTCCTATTACGGTATTCCATTCACTCTTTTAACTCGAGAAGTTGCCTATCTCCAATTTCAATAATATTGGTGTCAGATGGATTTCGTTGGGAAAAGTTGCTTGAAAAATCCTAATTATGTAACGTTCACTTTCGATTGTAACTAAATGCGCTAAATTCATATAAATATTCTACAAAATTGGACGTCGTCGAAAATCAGACCTTTTGTGGATAAACCAATCAATCAAACATTTATATATGTGGTACTTTATTTGAAAAAATTAATTTCTGTCGTTACTTGTCTTAACGTAATATAATACAAGAAAATAAGTGTTTTCTGAAAATCCGTAAAATTATTTCACTTTAATTTTTGTATTGCCTAAACTGAAAAATATTGGCTCTGTATCTCCTGCCACTGGGGACTCCACCTCCAAACCTCTTCTAATATTTAACAATAAGATTGGGAGGCGAGGTACCATTGATTGGCCTGCCGGATCGCCAGAGCTATCCCCTCTAGATATCTTTTTATGGGGTATTTTTAATCAAAAACTTAAGCCATTCAGCCTGAAAACTTGCACAATTTAAGCAACCGTATAATTGCATTCGTATCATTGGCAACAAATTACATCAGACATTCTTCGCAGCGTTTGAAAGCATTTTCAGCAACTATTGTATTATTGTATGGAGGTGAATAGAGAGCACTTCTAACAATTAATAAATCATGTATTGTAACTGAAAAATTCAATAGTATAAACTTTCATAAAACCATGTATTCGATTAATTCTAAAATTGAAACTTTTCGAAATTAATGTTTCTCGTTAGTCTTTTTTTTACAAATCACTTCCTCTAAATACCTACTTGTGCATCATGACGCACTTGATTAATTTGACGCAAATAATTAATCAAAACAAAACAAGACTGAAATCTTTCTTTATTACAACAATCAGACTTCATAGAAGTTTGAACATTTAAGATAAATACTGCAATTAAATCTTGAACAATCAAATAGATCTGAGAGGTTTAAGATCATTATTAGAAATTATTTTCACTAGACTAGTCAAATTATTTGCACGACTCAATTTGTTAACATTGGCATCTATAGCGGAGTCATATGTTGTGAATAGTTTAAAAAAGTTTTATAAAATTGAACTTAATTTACAATACAACTTAATAACCCATCTATTTATCTACAATGCTAGTTAAAAACTAAAAACAGCACTGATAAACTTTTTTTATAAATTCGTATTTTTGTTGACTTCTTGGTTGAGAATACCTATTTCTAGACCAAGAATTGCATGGCCTTGCTAACCAAAAGACAGTCTTGGTCTTGGTTTTGGTCTTGCGGCAAGAATCGTCCATGTCTAGCAAGTTTTGCTGTTAGATCAGGGGTAAAATTAAGTAAAATGAATCCAATAATAATAATAATAACCAATACACATTTCAGGACTATCACCAGGGGACATTGAAAAAATAATAATTAAATTGTATAGGACTGTAAACCGTTCAGTGATATTTATTTACTGCTTGAAGTTTTACTGTTTTATAGAATGTGTACATTTTTAAACTAACTTATACCATACCTATTTCAAAGTAAAAGTTACAAAATATTAGAAACAAATATTGGTCCCAACTACATCTGAAATATCTAAGATTCCGCTTTATTTATGTTCCACTTGTTCAAAGATTTGTTTTTATTTTTTTGTTTTTTCCTTAAAGTGAATCGTTGATATGCTAAACGTTTAAAACGGTTCAATTTTATTGACTTAGAGTATGATTTTATGTTGGAGTCTAGTGGGAGTCTCGCAAGATTCTTGTAAAAGTCTTGATATCGCAGAACATTGTCTCGGTCTTGCTTTTTTTAACACTATAAGACCATGACCAGTGTCGCTCATCACTAGCTTACTTGCCCAAGCTCGCAAAACTATTTGTCTATTCTGCTAATTGTCTCTTAGGAAGTAGGCGGTAAATTCGTATTTTTTCATAAAATACCCAAATAACTTGTATTTCTCTATGCCTTTGATTATATTATGTATAAATATATAAATAAAAACGACGATTAGTTATTTGATCACCACCATGACACTCATTAAATGAACTAAAAATGTTCCCCGCTTGTGTGTAGAAAATATTTTTTTATGCATTTCAATTAGGTAACTATAGCAGACTTCTCCGCATCGGAAAAAAACCAGTCGCAATTTGCAATTTACTATAGGTAGACGAAACATTTGGTTGTTTCACGACATGACAAACTACCCAAAAAGCGATCGAAAAATTGGCATTCTCATTCAACCATGTCGAATTGCTTGTAAAATTAGTAGAAGAAAGTTAATGTCTTGGAAATCCCACCGGTTTCAAGTGGCTGAACCTGAAAAACTATTTTTCGGAATCGCTCTATACTTTTAGTGATGTGCGGCAATCTTGCGGCACTCATCGCGCATTTAGCTTAAGCACAATGTGCGAACCATTACGCGGCAAGCAAATTTGCCGGAATTTTTACCTCATTCACTAAGCCTGATTAACATCAAAATCAGTTTGCAATTCAGAATGTCGGCATTAGAAGAAAACCCAACACAAGTCTCCCAATTAACCGACACCGGAAATCCTTCCGCGAAAAACAGCGAAAAACGGTTGTTTCCCTCTTATTCAAAGATCGCTGCCGGGTTTCAAAATATTCCGGTAAAAAAACAATTTTTTTGGAAACCAAGTGATAGTGGTGATATTGAACTAGTTGGTGCGAGATTATCCGAAAACTTTTGCCACCGAAAGGAATTTCCAACGTCTTTGGCATTTTTTTGTGATATTTGCGGTGCTAACCCAATTGAAAGGGCCATAAAGCTCAATCAGCAGGAACGTGTCGCTGCTAAAGTTGTTTTGAAGATCTTTTCCAGACTCGATCTACGAAACGTAAGCATTTAATTTTTTTTATATTCGACTGCCATATTCGTTTTATTTATTAAGTACTACTTTTTGATTTTACTTTTGAACTTAAGCTGAAGAATATTGCATATTTTCTAACAATTTCTTGAACTTATATGGGGAATCTGCCTAATAGTAGTTATAATTGAAAACTTAAGGGTTGCATTCATTCAGCACTAAACGGAACGAAGAACAAAACTAAAACAATTTCCTCTTCATGGCAATATGGAGACTAGGATTTGGTAACATGGACATATGGGGAAAATAAATAGAGCAAGTCCAATATATGTAGTCCAATGGAGCCGAAGACGTGTCTCCCTTAAGTTGTCTTAACTAGAAGAAACTTGTCTTAAAAAGGAACATCAATAAGTGTAATGTTATGATATACCGAGTGTTTTTTGAAGTGTCCCATATTTGACAAGGTGATTCTTCAGGTATTTTTAAGATAAAAAGTTGATATGGGCATGGGTCCGCAAGGCCGCGCCTATATCGAGCTACAGAGTGTTGAAAAATTAACTTTTACTTTTGCTTACTCTAAGTAGTGTTTTATATAATATAGATATTTGGACAAAATGTGTACTTCGGGGGTTTTGTAAGATGTAAAAGTTGAATGAGACTTGGTTTTGTTCTTACATTTAGAGAGAACAACCTACATGTTTTACACGTTTTTCCTTTGTCCATGTTTGTATCAATTTTTTAACTAAACAATGTACCTACTTTTCTCAAAACTCAGTACGGAAAAACTCAATAAGAAAAAGTTGTTTTTCAAGTCACTACAAACATCCGTTTACGCGATATTTTGATTTAAAACAAAAACACATGCGTCAATCTGTTTTTTCAAAAGTAAAACTGTTTTGGAACTTAATGGTTTTTACTATTTAAGTTTAATTTTAATTCTTTTGGCGTACAGTATCATTATCATGGTACATATTTTCATAAAATGGAAACGTTAGTTTACAAAATACCTAGTTTTACTTTTTGAAAAACACATGCGTCGATCACTTTAGATCAAAATATCTTGAAAACGATTGACCTTAGCGACTTTCAATAAGAATATAGTTTTTACGAAAAAATTATGCATGCACGAAAAAATTATAACTACATGCAAGAGTTAAATGCATATTAAATTTAAGTTTGTGATGTTACAAAGCTCTCTAATGTCGACATTAATTCAAAAATTACTTACAAAAAAACAAAAATTTAAATTTATTTTTAGCACTGTATAACTATAAGTGAGGTCTTACAGACCCATGCCTAAATGTACTTTTTCTCTTAAAATTACCCGAGGAATCGTAATTTAAATTTTAAACTTGAATTACATTAAACTTTAATTATATTGAAAAGTCTACCGTTTGGCTCTTGACTACATAGAATGCGTGATGGATTGCACAAAAAATGTGGACAAAATGAAATTATCTTTTATAACATCACAATTACTAACTGAATAATTAGACTTAGCATTTGAGGTATTTGCTTCGTTAAGGTAAATCTTAATTATACAAATAATGCTTCTGTGTCAGAGAACGGTATAAGGTAAGTACTTAAGTATATTCACGAAGAAAGTCGATCCATGGTGAATATTATTTATTTATTTGAGTGCCTGTATACTTATTCAGGAGAGCAAAATAAAGAAATGTGATTGTGAAAAACAGATCAATTGTCTGCTCTGTAAGGCTGGACCAGAAATAGCACGAAATTGACAAACCCATAGAACATTGTAATTCAAATTAAAATATTCTGCCAACAGTTTCCGAATTGTTAATTTCCATATAGGTACATAAATATACCTATTTATAGATGTTTTGTTTCGCCATTAAATCGTCTGTGGTTTAAAAAAATATTTTATTGGTTGGAAATTAACTGAACAAATTTAAACTTCACTTATTAAAAAAGGCTTTTAAATGTCGTTTAAAATTGCTTTTTTTTAAATTTTTGTTTTTTTCCAAAATATCTAAAGAAATTATTAAAACATGACAATTTTTATTGTTTGGCATTTATTTAATGGCAAGAAATATTCTGTTTCATACTCTTTTCAACAACTGGTTAATTTATTTTAATATGAATTATTTTAATATGAATGATTCGGCTGAATTAGAGAACGGTATGAGGAAATGAAAAATAAAATTGTGTTTAATGACGAAGCCAAATCAAAATTAAGTGATGTCTAATTAAATAAAGTTATGTTAAGATCCTAAACATGATACGAATATGACAGCATTTAATAGTCCAAAATTCAATTACGAAATGAATAATATAACACATTTATTTATTTATCTTATCTCCTGCTTTAATTCAAATCAACATAGGTACTAGCGTGAGTAATTATATTCCCAGAAATGTATCAAACCTTACGAATTATTTGCATTTGCAATAGTAATTCGACCTAATTAACTATCATAATGAAAACCATTCTGCTGCCCGAAAAACACCATCCAATTAAAATATCATTAGGTTGTCGTCATCTATGGGTTTCACATCAATATGTACGATTTCTGATATTCACATAGTACCGTAGCCATGCAGGTTATAGATAAAAAAAATGGATAAATAATTACTTTAAGTAACAGTTCTCGGTATTTTGATAAGCTATAAGCCTGTGGACTACAGAAGTTGTGTGTATGAGGCATGGGTGGGTTTTAAAAGGGGAACTACCATACTTTCGACGAATTTTCTTGGAAAACACTCGACTTTTAATACACCTGATTGAATATGCTCAACGAAATTTTCGAGGAATTTCGGAAAATAACCACAATCTATCACTTATTTTCTACTGATATAGTTAATACATTTTTGCGAACAGAATTATAGTTTTTAAAGACTTGTATAGACACTTAAACTATTTACCTGAAAAATTATGTTAATTCCAAATACCTATGTAAATATGTATATTATTTAAGTGGTTAATGATGCTTTATGCTAATTTTCTTGGGCGCTTTGCGCGTTTTTATTATGATCCTTTGCCGGTAGCATTTCGAATTGTAATAACTTACATATAATTATAATTTTCAAGTTTAATGAACATGATTTATTATCATTTAAAAAAAATTGAATAATTTTATAATAATTCCTTTAAAAAATTTTCAATAAAAAAATAAAAAATCCGCAATAAATGTAAACATGATCTAACTTCGTACGATTTATCGATCGCGATTTTCAGTAATTGGCCCAATTTAGTGGCCAATTAATTAGGGAAAAGTGCGTAGTTTAATACCGGCATAAAAATTTTTACATTAAATTCATTACAATTTTAGGCAGAACTAACTTTTTTTGCTCGTGGTTCACTTATTTTATTTGTTTCTTGTTACTGATGTTTCGTTGATACAGTTTCAAATAAAATTCTTGTTTTCTGACAGTAGAAAGTGCAGTTCGCAACTTTTCCAATAAAAAATTTTTGTTTTTGGAAGGTGTGACGAAATGTTATCGCTGAAACGGAGCATCTTTGAGTACGAGTTGAAAGCCAATTGAATGGAACCCGACACATACCTACAGAAGATTCTTTGCTCTCATATGACTCGAAGGCAAACTTTGCATCTTAATTTCTGCATAAGGCCAATTGGTGTTTTAACTAACTATTTTATATTAACTGAAAATTACTGTGTAATAATAATAATATGTTATACTAATACATAATCTAAAAATATGTTTTGACACCACAATCCGCTTTTTTTTATCGTGTTAAAAATTAAATAATTTTTACCGGTTTTTTGAACTCGGCTAATACATTTTTAACTGTATCAATTAGCTGAATCTGTTTGATTAAAACCTTGTTACTTCATAGTGTATTTACACAAGAAAAATGCTTAGAGTACTTAAAGAAATGTGTTTTTATCTCTTTCTTTATCTTAGTAATTAATTAAGTCCATTATAATAATTTTTCGATCAAATCAAATATTTTATACTGCACAATTATTACATTTTTAATCGAGAGGTTAAACTTTTTTGTAAAATAATGTGTACGTGCCAAAGTATGTTTAATTTTGTTGAACACTAAAAGACACTTTTTTGCGTTAGATTGGCGATAGATACTACTATAAATAAAATCCCATGAAAAAAAACTACCAAATTGCAGAAAAAGAATTGACTTCCCCCTCTATTACCATTATATTGGCCACACCCTCTATAATGCTGTTTATTTTGACAATTAAGTATATATTTAGCAAAAAAGCATATTAATCGACTGCGGTATTGAGTTTTGATATACCTGCGTTTAAACTAGTTCATGTCAGATATTTGGTTGGTGGTGACCGTAAAAAAACCAATGGGTTTTTCCCCTTAGACGGTCACTGAATTTCTATAATTCCCAGAACGTGGTCCTATCGGTTATGCTTTTACCGGTGTTATAATTTGCGCTACGCGGGAAATTCCTAATTGAATTCAATTTTGGGTCAGTGGACCCAGTCAATTTGAAAGTCTCGCACAATTAGTATTCATATTTGTATGCTCTTGAGCATGCAGAACTATTTGATTATCAAAGAAATGTTTTACTTTCTACTGCATTACGATAAACTAATCTAAACCACGAAAAACCCTTTAGGAAAAGTGCAAAATTTCAACTTAATCAAACATTAAAAAGGCGATAAGTTTACAAACAAGCACATTTCGGTGTTAATATTACATATTTGGTTCTGATTTTATTTCCTTGCAAAGAAATATTTTTGAGAAACGGTAATAATTCAATATCTACAGATATCAGCGCTATTGCATGATATGCCAAACCATAATTATTATTAATACAAAATCAACATTTTAGCTAAACATTTATTTCAAATTTCTTTAAAAATATTTTTAAAACAAAAAAATCCTTGTGGAATTTATCCACTTGAAACTTGCCCACTGGAATAAATTCGTTATTAACTTTTTAACTTAACATTTTTTAATTCCGAGCAGAACAATTAATTAATATATTTATTTACATTCTGCATGCAAAATAAATAAAATGGTTAATATGTAATTAAACAATAATCGCAGAAGTAGGCACTATTACTTTG